GCATTTGCGCTCTGGGGAGAGAAATCTCCTCCCTGGCTCAAGCAGCAGCTTCCCCTCCCGGGACTGAGACGCAGAGCTTCCCCTAGCAGCGGGAGCACGGGCTGCGCTTTGGAACGGCTCCAGCTCTCCTTGTTTTGCGATCAATCGCATCAGGGCAGGTGTGGGGAGACCCAGCGTGCTGCACCCTCCCGGGCTGTGCCCGTTCCGTGCCCGCAGAAACCTCTTCCTCTGCGAACTCCTCGGGGACGTCCAGAAAATAATCCACCTGCCTGCCGGGATCCTGCACTGGGCTCAGGTTTACAGCTGGACTCAACGATCTCAAAGGTCTTTTCCAGCCAAAATGGTTCTATGGTGCTTCCCGTGCTGGCTCTTTCTGCCCAGTGCCTGGGGCAGTGGAAGGGCTGAGGGCACCTGCCCAAGTCTCTCTCCCCAGCTCAGGGGCCTGTAAGATGTGTTCACTGAGACAGTTCCGTAAATCTGGGCTTGCAGGGGTCCCTGGAAGAGCCAAAATCTGATCTGAGATTTTAGAGACACTTCTTAGCCCCCCCAAGCCACATGGTGGGGGCTCAGAGGGTACAGCTCACCCTGCTCCCTGCCCTCCTCTGGGACAGTCGCTGCTTTGGCAGGACACATTCGGTCAATTCCACAAATCTCCTCAATTTCTTTAATCCCTACAGCTGCAAAACAGTAACATGGATCACCTCCTCCCAGCCTCCACCAGAGAGAAGGGGGCTGCTTTTAAAAACAACATTGTTAATTTATTTTTATTTCAACTCAACATTTACATTCAGGTCTAGCTCAGCCCTCGAGAAGTGCAGGCTGCTCTGCTCTGCAGCCAAGGAGTCAGCCACGGAAGCTTGCTTGAGAGTGGAATGTGCCAAAGAGATGGGAGAACTGCTGTCAGAGCACTGGCTCCAATGGCAGGTACTGGTCACCCTTGACACTGAGCCCAGGACAGCCTGGGCTTGCTTTGATGGGCCTTTGTTGCTTCCATACACATGCTGCCCACTTGTCCCTGAGCTGGAGGGGTGGACAGGAAAGGGGAGCTGTTGGACTATTCCTAGAGGTAGAGGGCAGGAAGTGCCTCTCTGAAAACAGGGCTGCTGCTCAGAGCCCAGGAGAGGCTCCAGCAGAGCCTCCAGGAGAAGGCAGCAGTCCAGTATCTTTGCCCTCCCTCCTTGGAGAGAAGAGCCCTTTTCACGGGGTCGCTTCAGCAGCTTCACGCTGCCGTGTCAGCCCTCCCGGCCCGTGGGGGGCAGGTGCTGGCTCAGACATGTCCCTGCCCCGTGTCCCCCTGCAGCACCCACTGCCCCTGCCCATGACAGGCCAGGGCTCCTCTCCCCCTGCCCCAGCAGCTTTGCCGACCTCAGCTCCCTTTCTCAGATACGGCTGTGTCAGACGTCACCGGTCCACAGTGGATTACTGCTGCAGCCATGCTGACGCCTTCCTCCAGGCTCTGCTGCTCTTCCAGCTGGGGGAGGCAAGGGAGAGAGATAGTGAGTGCTGAACCCCGGAAAGGCATCTCAGGGTAGCCCCCAGAAGGACAGGGGGGCAAGGGGGCGGTGACAGAGGTGTGAAGCAGAGGGGCAGACGTGGCCGTGATGCAGAAAGGCTGCTTACACAAGAGCATTCTGCAATCCCAGGAGCATGTCCCTGTGCTGTCCTCTGTATGCAGGGCACCTGGGAATTAAGAAGCAAGCCCTCTGGGCAAGCAGCAATGCAGCAGGGCAAGAGGGCAAGTGCTGTGGGCAGTAGGTGGCTGGGGAGCAAAGGGGTGCATGGCAGGAGCCTGCACCATGTGTGGTACCTGCACAGTGATGTGGGTGCCGTGGGCAGTGGCCAGCAATGCCACCTGCTGATGATGGAGAGGGGCAACGGCGGATTCCTCTGACAAGACTGCCCCAGAAGCGACTACGGTCACCTAGGAAAATCAGATAAAAAACAATCATGTTTTAAAAGAAAATGCAGCTCCTTTCTAGCAGAGAACAGGAAAGGTCCCAGTTTTGTCTGTACCCCCTGCGTCTCGGTGCCATCGGTGTTGGCCACAGTCACGGTGCGAGTGTCACCCGCCACCTCTCCCTTGGGCACGGCAAGGGCCCCACTCTGTGTCCCCACACTGATGGCACTGCCCAGGGCCCGCAGCTCTTCCTGCGACAGACTGACCTGGGGGATGACAGCGGATGCTCAGGGAGTCTTAGACAACTCCCTAGTTTAGCAATGCAAAGGTCTGGGCAAGGATGAAACAGTCTCCCCCCAAGACCCAGGGCACAGAGAACTCCAAGGACTTTGCCCAGGGTCATGGACAGAATTGATGACAGAGAACTCGGAGCTTGGGTCTCCAGCCCTCCCTGCTTGTACCACAGCTCCCCTCCCCACTCAGCCTCTTCTTTCCAGGCTGTACAGGACAGCTTGTGCATTGTGGCAGCAGAAGCATCTCAGGCTAAGAGGAAACAAGTCACTTTTGGCAGCTGCTTCCTTTGCCCTGTACCACAAAAGGGAGTTTTTTCCACTCAGCACATGGGCAGCTGGTGGAGGGAAGTACAAGAAAAGCACTGCTGCATACAAATGATGACAAAACATCTCCAAATCCAGCCTATGTCAGCAGATGTTGGGAGCTGCTGGGAGCTGAGGACTGACAGGCACTGCACACAAGCCTGGGCAAAAACCTGGAGACCCCATCAGCAGGGAGAGGCATCCTCCCTGCTAGATCAGAGACACCCTCAAACCAAGACTGCAGCAGCAGGTGAGGCTGTAGGAGGGATCCCTCAGAGCAGGCAGAGCCCATGGAGCCCCAGGGTCTGTTTTATGCTGAAAAAAGGCCCTGAAGAGAACACTGCAGCTGGCTAGAGGCAGAATCTCGCTTCACATAATAACTGCTGTCCCTGATGTGCTGGAGGCTGTCAGTGTCTGTACCTGCTCTGTCCCATCCTGAGAGATAAGTGAGACCTGTGTAGGCTCAGCATCATCTTCTTCATCTTCCTCCATCTCCGACAGGAAAGCAATATGCTGGCTCTTCAGCGGGCAGCCTCTGTCAGCAGCAGCAACTGGGTCAGGGAAGGGGAAGAGCAGCATTATCAGAACATGAAAGCACATGCTGGGCCCCAGGACCTGCCTGTGGCCTCAAGGGCCAGCACAGAAGAGCACAAGATCATGATGACACCAGCCCAGTGATGGCCTGGTAAGAAGGGCCTTTACCTCTCCCTGTACTATAGAATGGGCAGGGGCCTGCTCCCAACCTGTGACTTACAGCAAGGACCATCAAACACAGATCTGGATTTGATGGGGAGGCAGGAGGCCATGGCACAGACCCGGGTCTGAGAGGGGAGCAGCTGCAGGCTCTTGCTGTCACCTCTTCCCCCTTTGCTGTACCTGACCTGAGCCTGCTGCAGGTGATGGGGGAGTGGGGGCTCACCTTCCAGCCTCAGCTGCTCAAAGAGGGCCCGCTCACTGTCCTCCATGGTCTCCAGCTCGCCGTGGCTGCTGCGCTTGTGCATGGCCAGCGTGGAGGTCTGGCGGTATGTCTTCCCACAGCTGCTGCAGGTGTAGGGCTTGCAGTGCGTGTGCACCACGTGGTGCTTGTAGAGGCTGGAGTACTCTGTGAAGCGCTTCCCACAGCCTGGCACAGTGCACAGGTATGGCTTCTCTCCTAGGGCAGAGGCCACAGAGCACAGCTTCACCCACTCGCTCTCCTCATGCTCCAGGGAGGGATTCCCCACCAGAGCAAATAGCTGGAGATGGACCAGTGGAACAATAATCAACCCAGCAAAGCAATTCCCACTATTTGCTTTAACTCCCTGGCCACCCCCAGATCTACTCCTGCAATGCTGAGCCTGGAAATGCCCATCTCAGCCCCACAGACCTCCCTGCTGCTGGCTGGGAGGAGCTGCCGCCTCCTACCTGTGTGGATTCTCATGTGGTTCTTGTAGTTGGTGGCACTGGTGAAGCCCCTCCCGCAGCCGGGCTCTGGACACGCGTACGGCCGCTCGCCCGTGTGCGTCCGGACGTGAACCTTGCGGATGTTGGAGGTGGTAAAGGAGCGGCCACAGCCCACGAAGGGGCACTTGAAGGGACGCTCACCTGCATTGACAGAGTGATGTGGATGAGCCCTGCTACCATGCAGCTACCTGGAATGCCCTGGAGACCCTTTCACTGGCAGTGCAGTTCTCCCCCTGTGCTGCTCACCTGTGTGTGTGCGGATGTGTTTCTGTAGATCCCCAGAGGTTCTGAAGGCTTTGCTACACATATCTTCTGGACACTTGTATGGTTTCTCACCAGTGTGTGTTCTCATGTGGCTCTTCAGCCCATACCCTGTTCAGGACAGAAACGACAATTAATTTTGTAACAAAAAGGAGATGCCATGATAAGCTGTGTACCACCCCCCAGTTCATGTACTTGAGTGTCTGTCCTGTGTCTGCAAAGCTAAGGGGGAAAAAATATCCAAACAGCTCCCAACACTACTTTCAACCCTACTTCCACCATTATCTGACTACAATCAATCAAGTCCTGCAGGCTCCTGTGCTGTAGTTCCCTCGCAGAAGGCTTTAGATGCTCTGGACATTGTGCTCTGCTGGACCAGAGCCAGGGCTGAGGCTCAACAGCATTTTGGGTTGGACAGAAAGCAAAATCTTCTCAAAAGAGAAGCTGTTACCTGTAGCAAATGCTTTCCCACAACCTGGGAAGTCACATGTATATGGCCGGTCACCTGTGTGAGCACGTTCATGTACCTGGAAAAAGAAGAACGGGTCATTAAAATGAGGACCAAGGCAAGGAGGAAGGAAAACAGCTGTACAGAATGCAGAACCCTGGCACTGTAACCTGGGATAGGTCTGGCCTGCACACTGCCATGTCACCTGCTTTACCTTGCGGTGGTGGGCAGTGGTGTAGAGGCGGCCACAGCCTTTGTACCCACAGGGGAAAGCTCTGCTGCTGACCTGCTGCCCCTTCCCATGGCTGTGCACCTCCTCCTCCTGCAAATCCTGCCAAGACAAGTACAGGAACTAATCCAGCAAGCCACCACAGCAGGCTTCACCAAGCCCACACAAATATTTCCCTCCTTGCCATACATATGCACTCCTGCAGTTATCCTCCAAAAACACGTTCCTACAAACAAGCTTGTACCCGCACGGTGCAGCCCAGGTGACAGAGCTCCACAAACCTGCATTTCCCACTCCCACCTCACTGGGGGTTCTCAGACACCTAACTCCCTCTCTGGGCTTTGCTCAGCTCATTTGTGAAGTGTGCACTTACTATTTGCTAACTCGGCAGAGAAGCCACCAACGCTTTTTTAATTATTCGCTGGCAAAGAGGAGTTCGGCCTAGTTCCAGTCACTGAAAAATTCAGACCTGAGAAGGGACGTTGCTGGAGTCCGTAGGGTTCATACGGCAGGTGTCTGTCACTCCCTCCTCTTCCTTGTCAGACCCCTGTGGGTGAAGAAGCACAGGCACTCTTTGTGCCTCCCTGTACAGTGTGGAGCACGAGAGCAACCCAAGCAGGAAGACAACGACAGCCAGTGCCACCCCGCCCTTCTGCAGAGAGCTGGGACTGGGCCTGCCATGGCAAGAAGGTCTGTGCCCAGCTGAGCATTGCCAGCACTCTGCTGGCAGCCCCGTCTCCACAATGCTATGCAGACAGGAGAAAATGGCAGCACCCAGGATGTTCAGGTGGGACACTGCAGTGACAACACATCAGGATCGAAAGCTGTTTTGTTTTTTTGAGGTCTTTGTCACCATGGGGACAGTGGCCATAGTTTAGCCACTGCTGACATCCCAAAGGCTGTATCACAGCAGCTCTCCTCTCTTCCCAAATCCAAGCCTGTAGCACGTTAAGGGTGGCAGGCCCAGCACTCCATGGGACCAAATGGCCCCATTCTGGGCCCCTAACTGCCAGCCACCCATCAGTGGTGGCACTTGCCCTGGAGCCCTGTCCAGCTGCTTCTCTCAAAGCTGGCACTGCTGAAAGACAGATATACACAAGTACTGCTGAAGGGAGGGCCAAGCGTGGCCCCCAGCCTGTGGTGCTGCTGGCAGACCCCGGGAGCAGCGCTGTGCCCTCACCTTACTGCTGTACTGCTGTAATGCATTCGTGGTCTCCACACCAAAGGCATCATCTTCCTCCTCCCCAGCTAACTCCTCGAGCCCAGTTCCTGTCTGCACTTCCAGGATGGTGCTGCCAGGTGCTACGATGACAGGACGGTGGACGTAGGCAGTGCAGTCCTCCACCTGGATGGCCTGGAAGGTGCCAGGATCGTAACCGTCTGGAAGAGGAAACCAATTACATCAAATGCAAAGAGCTGCTGAGTGCGAGGCAGAAGAGTGCTCCACCTCCCCAGCCACCCATAGCCCTGGAAATCTGGGACACTATAGTAGCTTCTGCTCCAGCTGCCAAGTGAAGAGCAGGGAGCACTTTACCTTTAGCTGTGCTGTGTATGTAGGCCATGCTGCCATCTTCCAGCACCACTGGCTGACCGTCTTCCAAAGCCACAGACTCTAAAAGAGAATTGAAACATCCACACACCTTCCTGGAGGACTCAGGATGGAGGGAATACTGTGGCAGTTCCTGAACCCTACAGCATTAAGGTTCCCGGGAGAGGACACAGAGCTCCTGCTTGCCCTGGAAGGCAACCACAACTGTAGGTTTTAAGACACCATTTGAACCCTTCTGATGTGAATTATGAGATTTTTCAAGGCTTCATGCACAGATTCGCCACTTTCTTAGCTCAAAGTATTAGTGCAGTGCCTTCCCAGTTTCAAAATGCCAGATTATATCCCAGACAAGAAGGATTGTTCTGGCACAGGGATGTGTGAAAGGTAACACAAATATCCCATGGCAGAGGAAGGAGGGATGAGAAGGAAAACCCTTCTCACTTTGCATGTGGAGGCAGTAAAGAGGATGAAGGGGAGAAAGGCATAAAAAGTGGGTTTCAAGCAACCTTTTGAGATTAGAAGAGGGAGATGGCATACAAGAGGCTTGGGAGGGTAAAGAAGGACTGCCCAAAGCAACCGAGCTCTTTCTACCTGCCCTTTTGCATCTTAGCGTGGTCAGGGAGGGGCCTGGGCCACTCTGCTGCCTGCCACATGAAATGAATTCCCGTCACCTCTCAGATTAATGTCATATCAGTCTGGAGGTGACATTGGCCAATGGGTCAATGACCAAGGTGGCGTTGCTTCCAACAATCCCCACCTGCCCTTCACCAACACCTATTCCAAAAGTAATATATTATCTCATAGTTCAGAGGAAATTCCCGTCCAACTGCTCCCACATGAAACAAAGTCTGTGTGGGAGCAGCACACAGCTCACTGGGCTTGCGGTCTGTCAGACTGACAGTGGGGAGAGAGAGCCCACAGGTGAAACGACACCTCCACCAAACTGATCTTCTTGACAGATTGCTGAAAACTTTGCAGGAAATCACATATTCTATGCCCTTGTTTATCCAGCCTCAAAACCATGAGCAAAAAAAGCCCTACACAAACCCTGGACTTGCGAGAGCTGGAGCTGACAGGAGCCCAAGCGCTGGAGCACTGACAGCTACAGCCACATCTACAGTGTCCTTCCAAAGAGAAAGAGGGGAATGTATTGTTCTCACCTTTCTGAACTGTCACCTGATGGATATAAGCTGTGGTCCCATCTTCAAGTTCAATGACTTGTTCAATCAGCTTTTCACCTGAAACAGTTATAACATCCCATCAGCACTGCCGAGTCCAGTCCCTCTGCCCCACGTGCTTCCCAAGGAAACCAGTCCCACAGAAGGGAGAAACTGTCACTTGTAGGCTGTTAGGGACCAGCTTTCCCTCAGATTGCTGGCACTTCACTTCCCAGAAATGCCAGAGCTGCCCTTTCCTAGAGAGGAGGACACACAACAAAGACCCTTAGGCATCACTTGTTGACAAGCTGCCCCTCCCAGCAGTTTGTGCCAAGGAGCAGAAAGAACATTGTGTGCTGAGCATTTGGAATCTAGTAGAAAGCAGTTACACTTGTGCTGGAGAAAAAAAATCAACTGGGAGCTCTGAGTGGCATCAGCAAGTGACTGGAGATTTCTTTTTTTCTACTTTGGCAGAGGATCAACTCTTGGAAAAAAATTACAGTACCTAAAGGGGCCTAACATGCTGCCAGGGTTGGGTTCTGAAGACTGAAATCTTACAAAGCCTAACTCTGTGCAATCCTGTAATAATGACTGAGTTACCCAAAGATTTGATGCAGAGAGGACATTGCTCCATCCCACTTGAATAAGTAAAATCCAGGTTGGTTTCACCTGGAGCACAAAGTCTGGGGGGGGGGTCACACAACCCAGTGGTTCCAAGACACTCTACACATGTGGAATATAAATAAACTTCCAGTGAGTTTTCACAGAAAAGAAAGCAAGAGAGCAACCCTCAGGACATGGAGCTGCACAGCTCATCCATCCTGTTCTGCAGGCTGGGAAACAGCACGCTCCTGTTCTGGGAGCAGTGGGTAGTGGAGGAAGGGGCACCTCACACGCATCAAAGTAAGGAAAAGTGTTGAAATTGGCACCTCTCTGAGTGAGAAATGCACTGTTGTGAACCAATCCCTGTGAAGGAAAGTGAAGGAAAACCTCCTGCTCAGCCCAAGGCAAGTTTTGGTGGAAAAGAGCCCTCCAAGCCACAGCATCAGCTCTGCTTCCCCCAGTGATCCCAGAGAGAACAAGGCTCATCTGGTCTGAACAGCACCTTTATTGTCTACAGCAACAGCTCTCTCATCTCCACAGCTTCATTTCCACACCAGAGGCACATTTGAATTCTGTTTTTATATCAGACTTCTGTTCAAATCCAACAGAGAATCACCTGTGCTGCTCGTGTGACACGGCCACACACGTGTGGCAGCTCATGCGCTGTGAGGGCACTTTTGGCAAGTCTTTCATTTGAGCCCCAGAAAAAGACTTTGAGCCCTGGCAGCCCGAGGCTCCGTTACCTCTGGCAGCCTGCTGCAGGTAGGCCGTGGTGCCGTCCCTGAGGGTCACTGCTGGCAGCCCCAGGCTCTCCATCCCGCCGGGAGCACTGGGTCCAGAGCCAGGGGCCTGGGGGACACCGAGCCGTCCTTTTTGCTGCAAGCCTTAAGTAAGAAGAACAATTCCATTTTATTTTCTCTCCTCAGATGTATACTCACTTCTGCACACCAGGAAAGGCTTGAATGGCCGCAAACTAGTTTTGAGGTTATAAAGGATTAAGATGGACAACACACTGCATCCTTCCCCCACCAATGGCAGGCAGGGCTAACAATCTGTTCCACAGACAAATATAAAATCACACCAGTGAACTGACAGACTCTTCTTTGAGACAGTGCAAATGCCACATTCAAGCCCTTCCCGTCTTCCAAATGATCTGCAGGGAGGGTTTCCAAGTACTATAAGGTCTGAACCTACAGGCTGAGCATGTCCTGTACTGCAAGAGACAGGGGCAGGATGAGCTTCATCCCTGGAAGCATCCTCCTCTCCTTCCTTTCCTGACTAATTCCCAGCCTTTCGAGAAACAGAATTTCAGGCTCTAAGCACATTATATTAAAACCACCACACCCCCACAAGAACATTTTGCTAAAGAGGCTCTCTGCTGACAGATTATCTTTCAAAGCAGCTACAGTGGGTTCTTCCTGAGCCATCTCTGAGATAGCCAAATACTTAATCGTCTGATTTGCAGGAACAAGTCGGACCGCCCTGTCCGTCCCCGCCGCAGCCCGGGGGGAGCTCGGCTTTGAGCCCCCTCAGTACGCCTCAGCCCGCACCCTCACCCCTCTGCGGCTG